CATTCCCTTGAACTTTATTTTTATCTTTCTTGAAATATAGACAAGGGCTTTGGTAATAGAGTGGGGGAAAAAGACTTACATATTATTTATAGCTTTTAATTCTACTGTAACTGTGCAGCCTGGGCCTGTCTGTCACATTGTATTTGTTTCTGACCAGAAAGCTTCTCTTTGTTCAACCTTTTACCAACATGAATCCTTTTAGTGCTTTTGTCAGGATTCATATGCTATTAGATTACTCTTTAAATGTTGATGAAACAGAACTAAACCGATGTACTACGGCTAAAGAAATTGCTGCCTAGTAGCAGGATGAATAATGTCATGGAAATTTGACTTATTAATAAGAGTGGGGCGTAGATTTTTGGGAAATGTCAAATGTTTAAAAATATATATTTTTTAATGTTTTTAGGTGTAGTTTCCATTCTTAATAGTCTCAATCCCATGTCGTGAAACTGTCTGATTTGGAAAACTGATAAAAAAAAATAGTTATCTGATGATACTGTAAAATCAAATGCTATTTACACATATCTAGCAATTTATTTTTATATTTAATGAACATACTATTTAAACAAAATTTTACAGGTGCACTGAAAACTGCAACAAATATGAAACATCCCCTTACGGCTCCATTCGAGCGACAGCTAGCATCCAAATAGTGGTAGTGATATGTAATGCTAAATGAAGCAGATAAACATGTCTTTAAATGAGCAGCGACCTACTGCACCCACCTTTCAGCAGCTGACTAGCCCGACTGCGTGCTGTGCTGGGGTTGGTGGGCCCCACTGCGAGAGAACTAATGGAAAAGCTTTCAGGGCTTTAACCTGAAGGAAAACGTCAGCTCACATTTGGCCGCTCACCCAGGTCTAATGTCTCCCAATTGTGGCAATCACCACTGCTCTTACCCATTTTTATCATGCCGCCCCCCTCATAGCTTTTCTCTGTTACACTCCCTCACACACACATACTCCAGCCCCACTGGACTCTGGAATGACTGACTTTAGAGCATGCCAGGACTCTGGAGACTTACCTTGTTAAACAGTCCTGAAAACAACAAGGACCGCAAAACAAAAGTGTGCAGAATTTAGGCAGTAAAAGCGTGGTACTCAGGCTCAGCTGGGACATCCAAGAGCAGACTGGGAAAATGCTCCCTGTTCCCCTGAGTCTGTGCTGAGGTGTCATGTCAAGCTGGAATAGGATGAATAGGAGTAGACAGACACTGTACTCTGATGGCCTCACACACTGTAACCTGATGCAGTTTAAGACAAATCAGACTTTTCTATTGAGATTACTTTTTAATTTTTGTATTTCTTTGTGGTATGTACTTATTAGTGAGTCAGTTTTATTCTCAGTAAGTACATGATAGAGTTAATATTTGTATGTATCTATTTTTTTAGCATATATTATATATCCTGTTTTATGAAAAAAGTCAAGTTATATTTGTATAGCACTTTTCACAATGCACAACATTTTCACAAAACCATTTTATTAATTACAGGAATTTTTTTAGTTTATAGATTTCACATACAGTACATAAAATCAAGCATACATCTTTTTATCAAGCATAGTTCATGTAACCCTGCGCAAATTGTTCTTCTCACAGATAGTGTGAGGGTCTGTTATGGGTGCCAACCAAATTCCTTATGTTTTTTTCTCCCTTTTTTTCTACCGTTCTTTCTAAAATCATGAATAATTTGTATCACCACCCTACTGCCTGATGACAGCTGTGCAGTTGTCTTGCTGTCTATTTTTCAGATCAAGTAAATAATGAATAAAGCGCCACAACAAAAGAACACCGTATCTGAGCCCTGTCTCCCTGAGACCTTCCACTACTCTCCAGTCACAGAGGTGTAGACGCCCTGCATTTCTTCTGTCACCTCTGTTTATCTTTCTAAGTGAGAGACTACGGAGTAATTCATCAAAATACCAGAATATGTTTCACAGGTGATGCATACATACCTTGTATATGCTTGATTGCGTGCACGATACTTGGGAAATGTTGAAATTATTTTTTAAACAACACACCAACCAATCCAGATTTCCCTCTTTTTAGATCTCCCTTTTTTTTTTTTCACTGGTTTTCAGTCATTTTCCACATATGTGTAACACAGTATTGTGAAAAGCGCTAAACAAATAAATGTGAATTGAATTGAATAATTGATATGGGAATTTGGAGGATTCCTAGCTAGGATTTAGTCCTTAATATTCTCTTATCGGCCATATAAATCATCAGGAGAGTGTGCTGGTGATATTTCACTCTCTCATAGATAGAAACATTGTTTGTCTATCATTAAACATGTTTTGAGACCACTGTGGCAGGGTGCTGTTCTTTTTGTTTTTCCATAAAATGAGTCAATGGTAACCAATGATTTCTTCAAAAATATTTTCTTTTGTGTTTGAACATGTAAAAATGTTGAAAAATTATGATGGTAGGTTTACAATTTGTAAACCATTAAAATCATTATGTCTATGGAAAGTCCCAATAAAATTGTGTGTGTGTGTGTGTGTGTGTGTGTGTGTGTGTGTGTGTGTGTGTGTGTGTGTGTGTGTGTGTGTGTGTGTGTGTGTGTGTGTGTGTGTGTGTGTGTGTGTAAGTCTGTGTGTAAGTGTGTGTGTAAGCCAGAGAATGAAGTGCTCTGATTACTCGCCCACTGAAATTGATTGGGCTCTTTCCAGGACTTCTTCTATTCATATTTGATATGCCTGGAGGCTGTGGAGCAACGGTCTTAAAAACCTCACTGAAATCTGGCCTGGCCTAATGGTCCAAGCTTGCACTTTCCCTCTGAGTGAACCGCAGAGGATTGAAACTGTGGTGGATACTGACCTACGTAAAGGCATTGCAATCCCTGCAGCACTCTGGACAACATCCATACCCACACTGCCACTCTGTCTACTCTAATTCAGTTAACCACTGCAATAAAACATGATTGTTGGATTAACTTAAAGTAAGTTACCTGGTTGCCTTCAAATTTTGAGTTCATTGAAACGAAAATTTTTAGTTAAAAAAAGTCGTCTAGGCGCTTTTTACAATACAGATTTTTTTCAAAGCAGCTTTGCAGTGATAGGCTAATAGCGTTTTTAGTCGATTCAGCAGATCTGCGTGAACGGGAATTATTTTGATAACGTTCTCGTCTGTACAGAGGAAAAAACTTTTGTCGTGTCAAACAGGAGATTGGTTTAATGAATAGAAACTCAAAATATTATGTTATCTGAACGACTTTATTTGACAAAAGTTGTGATAACAAATCATGAAAATAATGTTCTGTGTAGAGGGGAAATGACGAATTATGCATGTGAAATGAATTTTCATTCCAAATACTTTATAAATATTAACCTAATTCAAGGCATATTCGATTTTCCCTCACAGCAGCAGGACATGTAAATCCCACCACAGCCATGTGCTGATCTCTCTTTTCTCTAGAATAAATATGCATTTTCCTGTTCCTCTCAGTCAAATCTTCGGGGTTTTAAAATATTCAGTATTTTCGCGGGCCTGAATGCAGTAAGATTTGAGCTATCAAAAGTCAGTGATTTCAACCTTTGATTGTTTCTTCGCACTATACCAAAACTTGTGCTTCTAAGTTGTAACACAGAACTAATATCATGGCATCTCGAAAAATGTTGAGGGTACTTTTGGAAAATGAGAAATTATGTTTTTTTTTTCCGGCTAATGCAGCGCGGTTGCGTTGTTTGAAACATATTTTAAACCGTAGCCTATATTATTTACCTTCATTGTGCCAGATCCCTAGATAAGCTGACGTTATATCCCGAGGTTGAATCCTGTTATATCCTGCTGAATAAACTCCCTTTATTTACACTTAGTTTAGTTAACAGCGGAGATCCAACTGTGTTTAGAGTGTAAATAAAAGGGAATAATAATTTTCATGGTCAGATAAGACGAGACAACAAGCCGTTTGATTCGATATCTGCACATAGCATATCATTTGCACACACAAAAATATAATAGGCTATATAATTAATGATTTGATGCAATTATAAATATTTACGTATTAAAAATAGACTAAATACAAAGTGATTTCAATAATGTTAAATGTGGCATGTGTTTCTCAGGAATAAATCACTGGGAAAATTAACAGCAGCGTCTGAAACAAAATGAACAGTAAAAATGTTACTCCAAGTTTTAGATGATTTAGTTTTAGCATTTTTTTATTAAAAATGAGCATAAAGTTTAACTGCCATAAAATGTTAAATAATAATAGGCCTATAAATAGTATACAGTTTTTAATAGAATCCTAATTTTTGCAGTTTTATTCACTAGTCCCAACACAACTGAATTAAGTAAATGGGGAGTGTAGGCTACACTGAAATTAATTGAGACCAAATTCAAAAGAATTGTGCTGCATTTGCTCATTTTAATCAAGTAAATTGAGCAGTAAACAATCGGGCCTAAATCAAATACAACAATTAGGCTATATTTGCAACATGATCACTTTGATGACTGTTGAATTTCATTTAAACTTTACACAATATGCTGCTAATTATGTTATCTTCAAACATAAATGTATAAAGTTGATTTAAGTGTATTTTTTAGTAGATCAGTTCAATAGAGTAGCATAGCTTTATTTTGTGACACTTTTTTGTGGTCTCCTATAGTAAATAGCCTACTGAGATTTATAAATAATTTATCATGTGTCTTTATTTTTCCCGTCCCTTTCTTTTCTAATATCGAATAATTCTTGCTTCCCATTAACTTAGGCTATTTAATGGTGTTTCAATAATTCTTAACTTGAAAATATAGGCCTAAGATAATGCGAATGCACTGATCGCGAAACACATGATAAGTGGAATTTCCAGCTCTGTTGCGAATAAATAGGCCTATAGGCTATTTTTATTTAAAACGTAACGAAATGCTTTACAATCATAAAATGAAATGGACTAAGCTTAGCTTGATGCGCAACGTAGCCTACAGAGATTTAACAAATCATATGAAACAACAACTTTGTTTATTAGCTACACACACACAAAAAATACACGGTAGAAATATCTCTTCGTAGTTTTCTTTATTTCAATAAATAGTGTAAATTATATAAAACAAATAGGGTATTTGTCAATTTAATTTATCTGACAGGGTAGCCTAGCCTATTAAGTAAATCTATTTACGCTAAAGAAAACGAACCTAATAGAAAAGAAGAAATGATGACTGTAATGGTTCGACAAGCCAAATAATTTAAGTTGGGCTATAGTACACAAACAATCCTTTTATTGATGAAATCTCGCAGTCATTGTAGTGCTTGTTTTGCCAGCATCCCATTTGCAGCGTTGAAAACAAAGTGACATTCTTTTGAGATGCGGTGATTTTTCTCTACTTCAGCTGATATTTTGGGTGATACAGTGTCCTTTCTCGCGGCGGTTATATTTCGTCCCTGATTATTTTGGTGAAAATATTTTGGGTTCAGACACGATGCCTGACATGTTTCTGCAGCGGACTATTGATTTGAATGAAGATACCCTGTTATAATATCACCATGAAAGCTGTCAGACCTGCTGGCCTGCTGCTGACTCGTAGGCAAATCTCACAAAGCATAAACAGCTCTACAACTAATGTAAACGCTATTAGTCGCCAACTCTAAAACACTGATTTAATGTTTTATGAATGAGCATTTGTAGCTTGTTAAATTAAAAAGCCTGTTAAAGTCCCGACGGGTTTTCCAATAGTGTTTGGTAAAGTCCTTGACTCATGAACCAATGTTTCCTCACTTCAGTCCATGTTGTGTTTCCTTGTGTCTTCTTAAATCGACCTTGCGCTGGAATCCTTTGCCGCAGAGGTCACATCCAAACGGTTTGAATCCAGTGTGTTTTCGACTGTGCGTTATCAGATTGGAGCTCTGACTGAAAGCTTTCCCACACACCTGACATTTGTGTGGCTTTTCCCCTAGGAGAGAAAATCCACACGTCAACGTTTTCATCCAAGGTTCTATTTTATAGATACAGTTCTAGATACATTTCCATAGGCTACACCTTTATTTCGTTTACCTGTGTGGATGAATGTGTGTTTCTTCATATCTGATTTCTGGTGAAATCTCTTCCCGCAGTACTGGCATGGGTAGGGTCGTGTATCGGAGTGTATAAGGAGATGAGTGGACAGAGTGGATGATCTTTTAAAACTTTTCCCACAGATTTTACAATCAAAACTTCTCTCCTGTGGGATAAAAGGCGTGTTTGTTCAAATTCAATCGATTTCAGTTACACTAATTAAACATTTGTGCTATGATTTTCATTCTTAAATATGAACATGATGAGTGACCTGTGAGTGAACGGCTTTGTGTTGTTCCAGACTGACCGCGTGTCCGAACGTTTTCCCACAGATGTCGCAAGCAAAGGGTCTTGTTCCACTATGCGACCTCCGGACGTGAACTTCCAAGCCATGTGGTGTAGAAAACACCTGTGGAGCAGAGAGGACCATCTTTAATAAATAATGTCTAATCGTGATTTCTAAAAACAGTCGAGCTAATTTGCGCTATAGGCCTAAACATTACCTTGCTGCATTTGATGCATTTGTATGCGCCATTTAGCAGGAGACGACTACACATCGCATCGGAGCTGGACTTGATCTCAGTTCCTTTTCCCAGAATGCTGGTGTCATCATAAAATCCAGAGGCAGTGGCGCGCTCGAATAGGGTGGCAGTGGAGCCGTAAATGCCTGCGCCAGATCCTCGTTCAGTGAATAGAGAGGGCTCGACATGCACGCGCTCATTGTAATAGGCTGGAGGAGTTGGCCGCTCGTGAGAGTGGTGATGATTGAGATTATGTACCAGCTGTCTGAATTCACATCCCGAGTACCTGCTCCACGCGTAAGGCCTGAAAGGGACGGCGAAGGGCTGTGTTTCCTCAACGGAGGGTGAAAAAGATTTGGCTGACTCTGTTAAAAGAGAAAAACGATCAATTAGCCTAATGATTTCCGTGTTTTAAATATGCTGTTATTCGGTTTAGAATTATAGGCTATAGAGTGAATGTTAATGTTTCCATTGATAGCTCTGCAAGATTGCTTGCTCATCTGCGATAGGCTATGTCTCAAAGACGTTTCCTGTCAGATATGTTAAATAGACATTTAGAAAATGTCTTTAAGATGTTTAGTATGATTACTAAGATGTAAAATTGCTTTATCTAAAATGTCTTTTAGATGTTTTCCAGATTTATCTTAGAGGCCTGTATGTGCTAGCCTACTGTAGGCTATTTATTTGTCACGTAGCTACGTTTTGTGACAAAATTTGATAAGGTCAAATAGCTTATATGATATACTTTTAAAACAAATGTTTTTGTGATATATATTTGCTAAACATTGTTTTATTCAAATTCTGTCCGATAGTAATCCGAAATGAACGAAAGCACCCGTGCAATAACTTCCACCGCCAGGTATAAATAATATAAAAACTATCATGCATTCACACTATAGTTGCAATTTTATGGGCTTTAAATATTTAGATATCTTCAATAAAGTACACCCCTACCCGGTGATGCTGATGGTGATGGAGGTCGCCAAAAGTCCTCGTAATCTGACGAGCGGTCGCACACGCTTCCCCCAGAGCTGAGAGGAGATTTGGAGGAAATATCAGCTTGATCCACCAGGCGAGAGTCCGGTGAACAAGCATCAGTCGTGTCGCCTGTCAGAGCATCCGTACAGCACTCTGACTCGTCTGAAGTTTTGCTTTCTGTAATGATTTTTCCCAGTCAAAACCAGCTGTAAACTACTGAATCCGAATCTCACAACATAGGCTATGGATAAAACGAAAATCTAGAATCCAGACTTTTCCCCACACAAATGTAGTCTGCGTACGCTCAGTATTTTACCATCACTTTCTTTCTTAGACAAATAAACAATGACCTCATTATGTTTATGTAGGAATAAAAAGAAAAGAATCTACAAGACAAGCGTTTTTTTTTCTTTCGTTTTTTTTGCATAAATATATATATTCTGTATGACAATTGCAATGCATTGTTCTCTGTAAATCGTTTATCATTTATAATTTTACATGTAATTTTGACATACCTGCGCATATGTGAGCTAAAATAGAATCAAGTCTTTTGTAGTCATCCTCCAAAGATCGTGGCTGGTGGTAGCTGTGTGCTTTTTTGCTCTTCACCAAGAAAGACCTAGGCATTGTGTCTCCTCTAGTTCCTTCCTTCGATGTCCTCGGTCATTAGTGAAGATCAGGCAATCTGTCAGATCCACAGATGCGCTGGCTTTTTATCTCTGAAAAGATTTGAAGACCATTTGGTTGAAGAGCAGCGCGTCTGTATAGAGGATGGCAGAGTGGGAGCATGCGTAAAGCAATTCTCTCGTCTGCCAGGTGTTATGAAGACAGGTGCTTTAAAGGGACAACTACCAAGCCTTAGGCCTGTGATTGGTCCGCCCCTCTATGAGAGGAGAGACAGGTCCGGGGGGAACCGTGGCTATCAGGATAAGTGATACACTGTTTTATCAATGTGTTACTCAATCCCTAGCTGCAGGGGGAGAGGAAACCAGGAGACGGCAACCCAGCCTGTGTATGCCTTTGCAGCTAACGATTTGCGCAGGGTTTTGTAGACTTGCTGTTAAAAAATAAAAAAAATTCTTCCAAAGCACATTTAAAAAAAAAAAAATTTAGGGACTGCTTATTTAATTTGTTTTGCGTTCACCTATGGATCATGCACAAGGGGGCATTTTGAGTCCTTTATATAGACATATATAAAATGCTACAAATAGGTCTATATTGTTATTGGCTTTTTTTCTTAACACATAAACAGAAATCGTGCTGACTATGTATTTATTTTTGTTTGCTGTAGGCTATTAACAAATATGTAGACTTTCATTAGGGCTAGATAAAATATTTAATTTAAAATGTATTCAATAGCCTATTTATTATTTTATTCAGTATTTTTTTTTAGATTTAAGTTTCGGGTAATGTGCCAAAAACACCCCTCCAGATATAATTCAATAGCCTAAACTAAACACTATGGCATAAACGTCGTCATTATTAAACTCTTCAAAGCCAAATATGTTCTTCCCTTAATCACTTTATCTTATGTTTTGCTACAATTGTCCAAAATAGGCCTTTGAAGTCATTAACCCCGTTATCATGATTTTTTTAAAGAAAACAATTGGATTTTTAAAACAGTTATTTGTAAAACTAGCCTAAGATAAATAGTCTATCAAATATTTATATTTCTAATAAACACATTGAATTGTCGTGACCTTGCGCAAGGCCAATGCCGAATGAACAATAAATCTGTCAACCCTGTAACCTCGACTCTAACACAGTCAAAATCTTTTTCACAAAACCTTTTTATTTTTATAAAAGGTTTAATTTTCCAGATTAAGTTTTATTTATTTATTACGTTTTATTAATTCCAATCATCTCAATGGCAAAAAAAGTGTCCCAATCAACCAGAATTCACCCCTAAAGTTAATGTCCGAAATTAGAATGCAGCTTTAAGTTCTCAAAAACGCTGCGGTTGAATTCATACTTGACTATAGGTTCATTAACCGGACTTTATCGAGATGATCAAGTAAAACTTGGTTTTAGTAGAAATAAAGCTGTCCACACGCCAGCGGGGTCACGGTGATCTCGAGTTTCGTGGCTGTTCACTGAACAGAGCGTCCTTGTTCAGAGTGGACGCTGGTGATCTGTCGTGGACACAACAGGGACACGCATTCAGCTCGTGCGGCAGACAATCAGTGGGAGCCCGTAGGCCTACATCAGCCAATCAGTCTCCGTCTCACCTGCCTTTGACTCGTGACAGCCGTCTCGCAAAGTAATCGCTTCACTTCACTAGAGCGCTGTCTGTCATTTAGGGCAAAAAGCTGTAAAAAAAAAAAAAAAATGTGTGGGGCTAACCGTTATCTTTACTGCTTCATCTCGTTATTTGGACATGTTTCGCTCACTTTATGATCAGTTTGTAGCCTATGGATTTATGAAATCTGTCGCGCCCATCAGATAGGCTACCTATAATCGCACAGTCCAGGATCCGCAGAAGAGTGAGTGTGTTTGATAGCCTACTGCCAACAGCGAAGCGCAGGAAATCAAAGCGCAATGTGCCCTCCGTCGATTAGACATGCCACCCCAGGGTATCCGGTAGATAGGATACCGATAATGCAAGGACACTGTTGCCAATATCTTGACTGATGTTCTGACTGACGTTATCTCACATACTGTGTACTCCATCACGAGAAACATTGGAAACAATCATATTTAGGCTATCCCACATAACGAAAGTGACAGAAATCTAAACACGGCAAGCTATACCGAACACTAGGAGAATAAATAAATAAATGGATAAATAAATAAATGATCTCAATAACAGAACAAAATAGCCTTTTATGTCGTTCCATAGACCTGCGTCAATGTCATGATACACATGAATTAACTCTCAGAACAAAATAAACAAACGAAGATAAAAAAGCAATATCCTGACCATTGCTTCCTTTTTTTTTCCTAATTTTTTTTTTTAATATAGGCTAGCCTAAGGATGTGCTTTAAATATTGTACTTCTAAAATACATAGCCTGCTCTTTAGTTATAAAGATGGGCTAAATAATATTTTTATAACGCTACCAAAATCTTTATAACGCTTCTTTTCTATTTGTTCATGTTTATCGTCCTGCACAGTTGAATGCCATCAACGGAATACCAAGCGGTGCAAATTAAAACGTTTGCATTTGTTCTGGACAAGTAGCCGAAAACGTTCCAGAGATAGCCTAGTCGAGTTTTTTAAACGCGCGAACTGTGATTGCTCTTAGCGAAACCCTGATTCAAAAATTATGTTTAATCAGTCACTTTAAATCTAACGAGAGCTCATTCCCCAACAGGAATTGCAGTACTTACCCGATAGCCTAACACAATTAGTTGTAAGATGATTTCAGGACAGTTGAGGTGTTTTCGTTTAAGGCAAAGAGCGCACAGCCAATCTCCTCTCATGGGTTTTAAGCGTACGAGCATCTAAACACGCACACACACAAACTTCCTGAAGAACGTTTTTTTGCGACATATCTCAATAGTATTCCAGTGTAAAGAGGGCTGTACCTTCAGCAGCTGTTTATTTGTCTTGAAAACCAGCGTTACACAAAATATTAAACCCTAATAGTAGCCTATAATAAGAGAAAAATACACGCCCGGATATTGGAATTTTTTTCTCGATTTCAAGAGAAACTAATTTAGAAAATAGTATTGTATTCAATGTTGTGAATAATGTATTTAAAAAAAAAAAAAAATTGGATTACCACACATTTTCGTTTGACTAATCAACTCAGTATTTCATGCTGCTGCATGGAAAATAGCGACCAAAGCATGACAGTCACAGGCTACTATCAAATGGTCTTTTTATTGTGATATGAATCAACACGTCCATCATCTTCAAGACACTTATCTTGCATTGTCAACAGTCTGTATAGCGTTTCATGCCCACAGGAACATTCCACAGGAATTCACTGTTAAACACTCAACTTTTGTAAGGTTTTAGTTTATATTACAATGGTTATTCTTAATTGCTTTAAATCACTTTAGTGTTTTGTGCTTTGCAAGCTCGTTTAGCAAAGTCTTTATTTTGTATGTGGGCAAGGTGGACAAATAGTGTACCAACTTTACATCCATCATGATAGGTTTTAAGGCTTTCTCTCTGAAATTACTTCATTCTTTTGCTTTGAAGATGACTATCAAAGTCCACTGGGACACAAAAACTCATTGGAGAACAACAATGTAGAGTGAAACTCAATTAAATATATTGCCATAAACAGGGATAAGTAGTATTTCATTGTCGTGAAGTCATATGCATGTCATCTGTGCAAAAATCCAAACTGATTCAAAAGCTAGTCGGTACGAATATGCATGTAAAAAGAAAAGGAGGGACGATGTGTGTATACTTGTATTCTCATTGCCTGTGATAGCCGTGAGTGCTTGGCTTGAGTAAGGCCAGAGATAGGAGAACATTGTTCCGATAAACACCGCTCTCTGCCTCCAATTGCATCAGTTTGCAGCTATTCATGATTCATAACATGCTCAGCATACCACATTTGTAGAAAATATTGTAAATCAGCAAGAATTTCATAGAATCTTTCCAGGCACAAAAACAAATCAAAATTCCATCCTGTGAAATAGAGAAATGACTACATCAAAGCTACAGTACATAAAAGTTATTGGACAGCAGTGTGCCAGGAAGAGTTGTTGCCTCCAAAGACCTCCCAAATTCAGTAATACGTCCTTTAACTGTACAATACATTACAATAGACATGACATCCACTGAATACATATTTTCAAGTAATAATGGAGATGAAAAAAAATCAAAACATGTACATATTTACATAGATGCTGGTTCCTTGACCCACATTTCATAATGTGTTCAAGACCCAAACTTATAATTCATGCCAGGGAAAAAAGGACTTGATAACTTTAGATATGACACCGTTGTATAAATATGGAACATATAAATGTCATTATAAAGATGATAGTGTTCCATTCTTTAATATCCCTCAAAGTTATGCATTGACTGGTTTCTCATGGTTTCTTAAAAAAAGGATGACTTAAAAAATAAAAGCTATGACAATGATTAATGCATAAAACACTACGCTATACAAAGTCGCTTCTCAGAATGTGAACAAAAATGTGAAGACCCCCTTTTAAGGTTTGGGAATCTCGTGCCACAAAATTATTACTTTTATTACAAGGGTCTCAAAGAGCCTAAAAAGGCACATTAGCCATCTTTATTGTGGCTTAAATTAAAAGTAGTGCCAGGACAAACATCTGACGCATTTTGGCAAAAACAAAACAAATGCAGATGTAAACCATGACCTTCAGAGAGATAAGACTCCACAAGTCCATTTGTAAAGATGAATGAGGGCTTTTCAAGTTCTCCCGTTCGAGTCCAATGCTCAATGCTGTAGGGCGAGCTTACAGACCATGTTACCTTCCCAGACCTTTGATGGCAGTTTGTCACCAATCCATACGATCATACTGTAGTTGTCTTATGGCTGCCATTTGAGGGCACAGTAAGTCGTAGGGTATCTCCTTCCTCATCACCCTCACTTTCTGAGTCCTCCAGGTTTGGATGTAGTGTGATCCGGCCTCTAACCTGATGACTGGTCAGGTGGGGTGACAGCTTCACTCCATCTTCATCAGAGGACTGGTAGGATTCATTGTCACCTCCATAGTGATTGACTATATGAATCCCATCAAAACTGGGTTGGTCGGGTAATCCCTGCTGCCCTCTTAAGCATCGGATCTATGAGAAGAGAAAAAGAGAACATCAGCTCAACTGAAACTTTAACACCTTTAACATTTCATTTTACAACATGCAAATAAGCACCAGGAAACCACTTCTTCACAAAAGATAATAATAGGAAAGGTAACAGTTACCAAACACACACCAATGCACATTCTCTGGACAGCACCATCAATTTAAACAAGCACATATAGTGGGATGATGGGGCCAAAATGAGTTTTCTACACAAACAACTTTAACTACAGTCCGTCAACAACACAATCTCATGGCAAATCAGAACTATTTTACATTTTAGCAAATTGATGGCTTATTCGTATGAATTCACACAATCCCCTTCATATGCTTTCAAATGATCTGCTTACAGCCCAGTGACGGTTGGGGTTAAGGGTGGACCTTCATACTCTTTTTCCTAAAAATCGTACCAATTCATACGAATTCACATCTTGTATAATAGTTGTTTTCCTGTGAGATCAGGTTGGATAGTTCACCCAAAAATGAAAATTCTGTTATTATTAACCTACCCTAATGCTGTTCAAAGACATTTTGAAGAATGACTTCAATCGTATGGACCAAAAAAAAGTTTTTCAAAATATCATCTTTTGTGTTCCAAAGAAGAAAGAAATGCATAGCTTTTTGGAACAACATGAGGGTGAGAAAAATATTTTTGAGTGAACTATACGTTTAAGAAACAAGTAATAAGTCAGGAGGTCATCTAACCCATGCTAAAAAAAAAAACCAAGTAAATCAAATGGCCAACCGTAAGCCAATAACATAAAAGTCCTGGTGTGAAATGTGGTTTTGAACTGAGAAACTTGCTCTGTGGTATGACACGCAGTTGATAAAGATGCATACACTCTTACCTGAAACATTCTGCCTCAGAAAGACAGACATGTGGGGAGAGACGTATTCATGGGTATTGCAGTGTAACCACAATCAGTAACATTCTGTTTTATGTCCCTTCCACAATGTACAGTCATTCCAACTAATATTACCCAAATTACAAAACAACCAAGAGTTTTTAAAATGAGAACACAGTGTTCATGTGGGATTTGAAGAGGGCTGATGTGTGAGTTGTGGAGGCTAAAGAAAGAAGAAAGAGAACAAGCCGGAAGACAGCGTCAAAATGGCAAGTGAGGCCACAAGTATGACTCTGTGATGTTGAGAGATTAGCTCGAGTATGGTTTTGCTTGGTGCAAATGCGGCTGATTGGAAACCTCTCGCTGTTTAGCAACTACGTGATTTAAATAGCAACCAGATACCAGACATCCGTCCTTTTGTTTTTGAGTTATGACTAAGCCGACTTTAGTGAGGCTGATCTTTTAAGCCCAACTTTACAACTTAATTCCACAAATCTCTAGTAAACATCTGCAGATAAATGATATATATTGTGTAAAGGTGAGAGGTTTTACTAAACTTGCCGTTATGGACTGATTGTTGTTGGCTCTTGACAAATTAGATGAAAGCATCGGCAAAATATTTGAATAAATTAATACATTTTAAGGTAAAAACATTAACATAAAAATGTAAATTAACTCTAATTGTACTTACAACATTCCATGAAGCAAAAAAATATATATATAACGTTAATTTAACTGGACTTTTATTAAATGGGTCTTCTCTCAAACTACACATTCACAAACATCCAAATCAGTCTTGTTCGTAAGGGTTTGTGGCTACAGACAGGATTCATGCTGCTGCTTGATTGTGTACGAAGAGGAACCTGGCAGGTTTTAAGAGGTAAAGCTGTCTTGCTGCACTCTGTAGATAGGGATTGAGATGGATTTAGTAGAAAGTTGTTTGACCGCAAACTACCAGCCTTTTGTTGTCAGTATTAGGGAGGAGGAGAAAAATCACACTACATCCTGCCCTCTGTATAAATCAATTAAATGCTTTCCAGTTTCTGTTCTGTCACTCCACATTCAGTTTAGCTCCCTTACCATGTAAAATAATGTCTAGCTAAGAAAAAAATAATAATGCGACATGTGACATTTGACTGTGATTTCCTAAACATCACACTAGGGATGTTTAAAACTGGTTGTAACGTAAATACATCAAAGGAAGAAACATCATTGAAGTCTGTCATGCTCACTGCACATATTGTGTCAACACAACTGCTAGTGATGTCAAATTCCAAATAAGCATTACACAATCTATATCGGCCTATACCACCTACATAAGAAACATCACTGGCCGGCAAAAGAAGCTACTAGACCAAATTCTTAATGCCTAATAACACTTACTGTAAATTAACTATCATATTTGCATTATCCATATTTCCCATAAGCTCGAGACACATGAAAGGCTCTATATAGCAGTGGTTCTCAAACTTTTAAGCTATTGACTCAAAGTAACATCTACTAGAACATCGGCTGCCGCCACCACAGCAGTCAGTCGCCACACAGTGATGTCATATCTGCATAATGAGAATAATTGAACAATTTTGTAAAACACTCCAATCAGTTGTCTTTAAAAAATATATATGTTTACTTTTTGAAATATGGTTATTTAATTCAGGAAATAAGAAAACTTTATTTTACAAGTGGTCTTGTGAGCCCTTGAATCATTCCACGACCAAACCATCTCTATATAGGAAATTTATTGATCCATACATTTTTCAAGACACCAAGCCATCTACTTATGATACTTCCTCAGTAGCTATTTAACACAGAGAAGTTTAACGGTTTAGACGTGAGTCCCACAACCAGAAGTGGGCAACAACCAAAACAACACATTAGCCACAAAAACAACACCACCTACAGACAACCTAGAGTTGTCACAAGAAGTTTTTGTTTTTTTATCTATGTATATTTGAACTATTTTCTTAAAAGTGCCTAGAGATGAACTCCCTTTGGAGAGGACTTTGTGCACTCGTTTACGTGCACACACAGCTATAACACACCAAAAAAAGGAAGGAAAAAAAAGGTGCACTTTAACACATGACCTGGAGAATAAAGGATAAATAAATAAAAATAGATTTAACTGCTACTTGTTTAGAATTCTTTCAGTGTGCCATCTCCAATGACTGCAGAGCCAAGGTAATGCTAAGTAAACCGGGAACATGCGTCACTGTAAAATCTGTGTGTACCTCTCCGTTTATCTGTCTGATTGATGACCTGACAATTCGATTAGGTTGACCTTGAGTCACAGGTGCAGTCGATTTATTAAAATACAGGGTTCGACAGAACAGATTTCAGGGTGGTTACTCCACCTGTGAGCGGATAGGTGTAGCGCGACAGTGCGACGGGGCGTGTGCAGGGCAAACTGAAGTGCAGGAAGAGGCCATGCACAGGGCGTAGTTAACACTTAAAAAGCCCTGTGAAATAAACTAACAAATCTGTTCAAAGCGCTCATAAAGCTTGTGAAAAATAAGAAGCTAACCACAAAACAAATAGTAAAGATCAAAAACATACATCAGGCAGGAAAAGAAGCATCTCATAGGTGGGTAAAACATCACACTCGCCTAGTTGACTTTGACTACTACGATAAACTTCTGCTTAAAGGTACATGAAGTACATAGTCAATATGCAAAAGTATATTATAAACGCATTGAAATTACCTCATGTTTGAGATCTGCTATCTGATCCTTGAGGTCTCTGATGTACTGGCTGGAGTCTGTGTTGTTGAGTTGACCTTGGACCTTTCCTTCCTCTTTCTAAATCGAAAAAAAGAAAGAAAGAAAAGGAATGAGAGAATATTCAAACCACCTAGAACAACTAGCAACCATTTACAAAATTATTTCTTCTGTGAATAAAAAAGAAACATTATTTCCAGAATATTGTACCCTTTTGCTGTTTTCTGAAAAAACACCATAAAAGTATTATTGAGTACCATTTAAGTAGCCCATGCGCACTACATTCAAAGTCTTATGAAGAGTCTTCATCTCAGTGTCATGATCTTCAGCAGGTTGGTCACTGCTGCAACTGAATCATAAAGTAACTTGAGAACCGAATCAGTCTGATTTGTGAATGGGTCCTTTAGACCAGTTTTGGGAACTGTATAACCCGATTCACTGAAAAGATCTGACTTGCACTGTTTCCTAACCAACGTCATGACGCGATAAAAGGTATATTTTTTGATGTTAATCGGTGTTTTTGTCCTTACCAGCCATGCCAATTCTATTTTAGAAATGTTGCAGCTGGAACAACAATATACTAAGTATAACAATGATAATCTCAGGTACTGATTATGTGCTTTATTTAATGTTAAAAGAATTTAATGTGAGTTTGAATCTTGAAAATAAATTTAAGGAAACAAGAACTCCGTGTAAACAAACAAGCGTATTCTACGACAAAGCTTGTATCAGTCACTCAGTATGTATTTGTATTATTGTTTACTATTCCATGAGACATGTAGCCTGGGAAAACCCAGACAACTTCCAGCAAATTTAGATTTGCTCTGAAAGTTAGTCTGGCAAAGAGCTCATTCAAACCCATTTCCAATCCGTCGAAATCGAGACACCAATCAGAAACGTTGGGGCGGGCTTTACACGATGACGACAGCGCTGGGATTTTGAAGCAGATTTTGTAGCCTACATTACAAAGATGGATCAGGCAATCCGTCGAACATCACTCGTTCGAATCAGCTATCGCGTCTGTTTTAAGCGATTTGAACGTTTCCTTTTTGTTAAAAACCGAGCAAAGAACAACACTCGGCCGCTCTGCATACGTCATTTCCTTCATCGCTCTGATTGGTTTTAGGTCTATCCGCGACGTCCGTTGGTGACGCCCCTCTGGAAATGATTTGTCTATGACGCTTTGCCAGACCATAACTCAGTTACAACTGAGAATGGTCTGGTTTTAACCAGGCTATGAGACATGGTTAGTGTTTACTATTCCATTTCGTTGCGAGAGCAGTGCTCTTGCAGAGAGCCACCCACGTGCTCTCCTGATTGGCTGTGATTTTTTATTAAATTTGTCGTGTCTCGCAGTCATGTAGCGTTTGGTGTGGACAGACAAATTTCTTGTCGCTAGAATCTTTTCACATCACATCTGGTTAGGACACGGTGTTACATGTATTGGCAGAACATCACTTTGCTCATTAAAGCAAGTGTGGGTCTCTGCAGGTCAGAATAATGTCCATGCAGAAAGGTCTTTATAATAGGTTGCGAAAGCTGTTTCTGTTAGTTTCTGTTGTAGCCTTGTGTACCTTTCGGCACGCCCATTACTCCAACCCGTTCTCCATTAATGTTGTACAAAGCCGTGACAGATATCAATATTTACATTTAATCAGATGCTTTTATCCAAAGCGACTAACATGAGGAGAGCAATAGAAGCAATCAAACCAACAATAGGGCAACAAAATGCAAGTGCTGTGACTAGTCCCAGGTAGTCTAGCACAGTACACATAGCAAGGTTTTTTACATTTATAAATAGATATAGAATAATAAGTGTTAGTATTAATGGGTCAGGTGTTGATGAAAAAGATCTTCAGTCTTTAGCAGTTTCTTGAAAATGGCTAAAGACTCAATTGCTCGGGTTGAGTTAGGCAGGTCATTCCACTAGCTTGGAACAGTCAAGGTGAAGGTCTGTGAAAGTGATTTTGTGCCTGTTTGGGGTGGCACCACAAGGCGCCATTCACTTGCAAAACGCAAGCTTCTGGAGGGCACATAGGTCTGAAGTAGTGAGTTAGGTAAAGGGGCGAAGAGCCAGTGGTTTTTCTGTAGGCAAACATCAGTTCCTTGAATTTGATGCGAGCCCCAATTGGCAACCAGTGCAATTTTATGAGGAAAGGGGTGACGTGCACTCTCTTTGGCACTCTTGCTGTAGCCTTCTGGGTCAGTTGCAGAGGTTTGACAGAGCATGCTGGAAGGCCAGCCAAGAGAGCATTACAATAGTCCAGTTTGGATCGAACAAGAGCTTAGACAAGGAGTTGATGGGAAGGGCCTGACCTTCCTAATGTTGTATAAAGCAGTTCCTTGAGCCAAGCCGACTTCAAAGAACTCGCGGCGACGAAAACCGAAGGTGTTGTCGCCTTGCGTTGGCTGCATCTGGACCAAAAGCTGTGCTTGAACACACAGCACAGACAACAGCTGACTGTAAACTAGCATGTGCGTTCTGCGCCTCCACGAGAAACCGAAACAAGGATATACGCATATATACGAAACGTAAACAAAGTAGCGCTTGCTTACCATTTTGAATATCAGTTATGTTGATAACTTTCTTAATTTTAAGCGGCTTATTGTTATGAAAATATTCTTGTTTTGGAATGCTCGGATAGGATAACATAACATTAGATAAGCCTTCTGTCTGTGCCGTCTTGACTTACTTGCTCTCTTTCGCTTTTATTCTCGTGCACTGACTTGTCCGCTAAACTGAACATCCAATCTGCATGTAATTACAGATGAATAACACTGTTGACCCTTCCCTTACACCTTAACCAATCCTTAAACCTAACCATACCACCAAACCTGTCCTGTCCTAACCTTGAGACCCCAATATATTCATTTTTTGATATTTTTTATAAGGGTAATACATGACCAGCGGTATACTGTTAATAAGGGGTGGTTTCTTCATTAGGGCGCGCACCGCCAAAGTGCGAAAGGGACTTTTTCAATCACATTCACATTCAACCACAGAGTTACGCTAGCCCTTCACTGTTGTTCTGTCCAATCAGCGTCAAGTCACGTTCTGTGGAGTACCGCCTCTTTTTGATTTTGGCGATTTCACTCTGGCAGGCACTGCAATGCATTCTCTATGGGTTCCAGGAGGGCTCACACTAACGTGCTTTCGTCATCATACGTCACCTTAACTTGTGCAGCGATTGGTGGAAACAAATATACCTCTATTAATAATCTTTAAGCTGAAGTGATATCCAATAATTTCCTCAGTGCATAACTTACATTTCACAGACATATTCTCCATCTGTAAATGTTAGAAAGTCAAGCAAATATTTGCTTTCAGGAGTGGACGAGCCTTCTGCAAGCTAAACTTCCTCGAACGAGCGCCGCCGCAAGATGGAGCTTAATAGAATAGGAGTGCAATAATTCTGACTAAAATATACATTAACACTAAATTATAAATATATTTTGCCAAAATATTTGTTGTTGAATATTGTTGTTGGTGAACATAAATGTGCAATAGAATTTCAAACCTACAAGTGTATTTTTATGATATCAGTTTTGTTTTATTTATTTTCATTTTAAGTTTAGTGAATTTAACTACTTCTTTAAAAAGCATTATTTTGTTTTTAGTTAGATTGCAATTTTGCAATGTTAGAATGTAATGTGATTTGACCCCTTTTTTGGATAGACTGCAAGGTTACATTCACTATGTTTGTTTTCATAGCCTTCAATATGAACACTGTTTGTAGGACAATATTGATCAGGATATGAAATTAAAAAAATCTTTAATTAATCTTTAATTTTTAAATTCAAATAGAAAACAAATAATAGAAAAAATAGAAAAATACTGAGATTATACCATACATCACCATTTAGCCCAAAAATACAGATTTTTTTGGCCATTGGCTATTGGCCAACCCTACCTTATGGCATGCTTTAAATGCTGAATTTTCCATTTTTAGCTAAGCAGTAATGATACATTATTATCACTGTTAAATGGTTATTTAACAATTTGCCTACATTCAGTTCTGCATTAATAATTCAGTTGTTCACATGACATTTATTTATATAGCACTTTATACAATAGATTGCTTAAAAGCAAAAAGCTTTACATTATTAAACATGAAAAACAATGTCAGCGTCTCATTTAATCAGAAGTACAACGATTTTCTACTATAAATCAGCTCTCCAGCATGCTCATGTTTTTACTTGCGGACGTCTGACCTTAAAAGACTGAACTAAAGAAATGAACTGGAGAAGATTTCCATGTGAAAGAAGCGCACCCATTGATTACATTATCGCCACTGACCAATGGTGGTACAAAGGTGTAAACCAGCCAGAGGGAATCTTTCCTGAAAGCTCTTTTTGGCAAGCTGTTTGAACTCCCAAAACAAACTCCAAACAAACTTCGTTTTGGCCCGATTTTGTTCAAAATTACATCTCATCACTTTGTTCTTCGATATCATATATCGGGGCTTTTATCCCTATCCCACCTCAATGTCAGTAAAAGTGTTTTGCAATACAACATGAACACAATAAGTACATTGTTCATAGTACTTAAAAGTTACCTAATATAAAAAGGGTGAAAAACCAAGCAAGATTATTGTGGTGGCCATATTGGTTTACATGTATGTGAACTATTATGGCTATAAATTGGTTTACATGTATGTGAACAGATTGTGAGGCTGTTGTGTTTTTCATAGGGGTGTAACAGATCGTAGTTGATCCGTACGGACCAGACCCCACAGATCATCATGCATGTGATTCGCGGGTTAGTTGCAAAGTTTAACTATCATAGAGTGAAAGTTTATCATTTGCACGTGTTCATAAGTCTTGCCAATTTAAACATTCAAGTGCAAGAAGAGGCGAAAGAGAACTTCGTCACTCGCACACTGTTATCTGCACACAAACACAGAGAGTGGCGCTTTTCAGATATAGCGCGCACACACCGAATCGAGTACTCTTTTGCGTCTCCTTGAATTTGAATGGACAGACACATACACAAAATTATCTAAAATACCTGTCTTTCCAAATATTCTTTTAATCAGATGTTATATGTCTTAAGTCAGTTGTTCTCAAACTGGAGTATGTGA